AAAGAAGCCGAACTGATTTTAGCCAATCTCGAAGGAATCGAATTTATTCATTTCAACGACCGCGATGTGGTGCGGCATAAGCTCGTGCAAATGATCGTTCGCGCATATGAAAGTCACACCGAAGCGACGGAAAAAGAACAAAATTCACGTTAATTTATGATCGCCGCTTTCGATGTTCATTACATAAACGACACGGCTTCAACCGCTTGCGTGTGTTTTGAAAACTTTTCAGATTCCGATTCGGCAAATAATTTTGTCGAAAGCAAATCGGACATCGCCCCATACGAATCGGGGCAGTTTTATAAACGCGAACTTCCCTGCATCGTTTCGCTTTTGGAAAATAACAAACTGAATCCCGATTTAATTATCATTGACGGTTACGTTTGGCTCGACGAAAACCGCAAAGGGCTTGGTGCGCATTTGTTTGAAGCGTTGAATCGGAAAACTCCGGTTATCGGTGTCGCCAAAACGAAGTTTATAGATCACGCCGATTTGCGCGAAGTCTTTCGCGGAAACAGTCAAACGCCTTTATTCGTAACCGCAATCGGTTTGGATGTGAATAATGCCGCAGATTTTATCAGGCAAATGCACGGAAATTTCCGTTTGCCGACGTTGCTGAAAAAAGCCGATCAGCTTTGTCGCGGAATTATCAAATCTTAAAAATCCGATAAAATGCACGAAATCATCAACAATCAGCGCAAAATAAAGTTCGACTCGTCTTTCTTGAAGGATTTTTTGCAAAGAAGTCACGAAAAAATTGTAGAAGCGCAAAACAAATCGGCGGCGATTGCGTTCGTTTCCGACCGCAAAATGCGTGAACTAAACAAAGAATTTCGCGGCAAAAATTCGACCACTGACGTTTTATCATTTCCTTTTGAATCCGACGAATTCGACCTCGAACAAGACTTTTTGGGCGACATCATCATTTCGCTCGAACAGGCTCAGAAACAAGCCGTCGAAAACGGTTTGGATTTGGAAACCGAAATAAAACAGTTGATCTTACACGGTATTTTGCATCTTTGCGGCTTCGACCACGAAACCGACAACGGCGAGATGAACAAACGCGAACTCGAATTGAGAGAAACTTTGCAAATCAATAATTAAGCGAAGTTTGAAAGATTGCGGCAAGTTTTTTCTTTTCCGTTAAAACTGATCTCGATATTTTTACAACTTCCCTTTTATTTAGATTTTTATCGCCGAGCATTGCATTTATCGATGCTTCGTTTTGAAAATAGATTCGTTTTTCGGTCGTAGTTTC